TTATATATGTCACAAATTTCTGGGGATATGATAGTCCAGGAAACTATGGCTGAAAAGATATGGGAGATAGGAGAAATGACGACATTATTTACTGACATTGACATTCTTTCACAATGACGCAATGTTCTTAGCACCAGCTCCATGAACATCGCCACATGCAAAATACAAAGAGATGCTACCTGTTAAATCTAGTTTTAAGTTACTATGGAAACCTCGGTGAAAGTTGCCCAGAAACATTTTTCATCGATTTAAGTCAATGTTAATTGTTATATTTCGATATGATTTCTCCCAGGAATCCTCTCAATTCTGATACGGAAGTTATCAAAGTCTATGCTCCACTTTCGAGGGAAAGTAGAGCTTTTATTTCCGCTATCATGGCTTCAGGATTCACTAGGATACCTAACAACTTTACGGATGACATTTATCATTCCTTTTTACCATGTCCAGTTGGAACGTTCTCAAACACGACATCTAAAGGAAAGGATGGATGCACGCCGTGTTCTCCAGGTTACTGTTACTCTTCAGTTAACTTGCATGCATGACTAGGATTATCTAGAGCTTGTCTTCAGAGTTTTATGGGAGTAGAATGAGCCCATAGTGAGTGCAGACCGGAGTAAGACCCGGTCAGGTTAATAGGTAGAGCTCGAGGCCTGGATAAGATTTCCAGAGTCCAAATTGCGTACCTCCAATATACATACGGACGAAGGATTATTGGAATGCATCCTAACTCTTCAGCCAAGACCGCGAGTACAAAACCTCCATAATGAGTGCCTTAATTATGTATGCTTTATCTTGCACTTTAGTCCAGGATACACTGCAAATCTTTTACAGGTGGATTTTATTCTGACAATCTCGGCCACGTGGCTGAAAACTGCAAGAAGTGTCCAAATGGTTCATTTGTTGCCTATGACAAAGCACCAGGAACACGAGCGCAAGATTGCAAGTCTTGTCCCCATGGTATACAATATTTTTTTTGTTATAATTTACTGTCGGCGCGCTCTTGTGGTATTTGTTTATGTACGAGAACGTTCGTTTAACTTTATCGAAGATTAAGAGTATCTTTTTCGTAGGATAATTCATTTAGCGGATTCCTCATTTTGAGGCGCGTAAAGCTACATCCCCCTCATCTGCGTGGAAAGCAGGAGCGCAGCCAAGATTTTTCAAAGGGGGGCGGGGTTATACCTGGTCAAAGTGAGGGTACTCACCAGATTGTCATGTCGTTTTTGCAACCTACTGTAGGTTGTTTGCTTGAAAAAGGCTTACAAAGAGGGACCACGGGCACCCTAGTATCCCCCCTAGCTGCGTCTCTGGTGGAAACCACGTTGCTGATGTTGTCGTGTACAATTTGTAAGGCGATAATAGGTGCGCCACATGCGTTAAACTCGTTCGAAGTCATTTTTTAAAGATAAAAAGCTTTCTGATGTAAGCAAATAAAAAGCCTTGACCGTGCTTTGCTCTGTTATAAAGTACTTCAGGAGTGACCAGAGCAATCAAGACTCGTGTTTCCATCTACACTTTTTTCGTGCTCTTCTCTCTTCCTTACGTGGGAGAAAGAACAAAAAGGTCAAGCCTTTTTTGTGTCTGACATGGTATATTTATTTGTCTATAAAATGCAGTTTTCTTCCCTGAAACTCTTATTGCTCGTCTTGTCTCTCCCACAGGAACAGATACTGATTTCTTTGCTGGATATCGTGGTTGCAGATGTTTGGCAGGATTTTATCGAAAACATATGTTCGACAAATGTGAAAAATGTGGCTCAGGTGGACTGAAATGCCAAGATGATTATGCGTCTTTAAAGTCTGGTTACTGGTGGGAATGGCGTAATACGACGCACAAAGATCGTTACAAAGAATTTATAACAAATCTTTTGGCAACCTTACCAGCACTAGGTGTTGATGATGTGCAATTTCCTCATCCTATACCTACGCCTTACAGGTGTCCAAGAGAGGAATCCTGTAAAGGCGACTTAGATTCTCCCTGCGACATTGGCTACGAAGGTCCACTCTGTGCTGTTTGTAGTAAAGGACATTATAAGCAATTACAAACCTGCAAAAAATGTCCATCAAAGAGGTGGATACTGGGACAGTTATCCATCGTCGTGGCCATTTTAATGATTATTGTGGTAGGCTTGGCGTGGTCAGCGAGCAAAAGAAAAGATACGAAGGACAAAGGGCGCACTCTAATAGACATGTTCTTTTCTAAACTTAAGATTGTAATTGGATTTTATCAGGTCACTTACGGTTTGTTG